TCCGAGGCTGTAAATCTTTACGGGAGCAGAACGCCTCATCTTTCTCCCGCGGAACAGCTGGTAGTTTCGAACTGCTGACCTTGTGGTTCGCAGTCCGATTCGTAACCACTACGCTACCAGAGCTCCTAACGACCTTATATGTATCCACTATTTTATAAATGAGATCACTAAGGTACAGAGTAGAACTAACCAAGCAGATAATGAGAACCAAAATTATAAAGCAGCAGAAGGAGGCTGTGGAAGCAGATCCTAAACAATGGGGGCCAATAATACTGTCTCAGTGATAGGTGCAACCTATCATTTCAACTTATAGTGACCCCATGAGACAAAGTAGAATTTCTCCGAAGGGTTTTTTGTTTTTGCTTTTTTTTTAAAAGAAAACTCTAATCTTCAAGGAAACATATTGCCAGGTATTTTCCCCACACAGGTTGGATGAGTTCAAACTGCCAATCTTTCATTTAGCAATCAAGCATTTAAATCATTTGTATCACGAGAGTTCCTTAGGTTTAAAATAACCCATTGCCACAGAGTGGATTTCAACTCATAGTGACTTTATAGGACAGCATAGAACTCCTCCACAGTTTTCCCAAACTCATAATTCTTTACAGATGCAGACTTTTACGTCTTTCTCCTGGAGAGCATCTGGGAGGTTCAAACAACTTGTCAGTAGTAGGTGAACTTTTAACCACTATGCCAGCAGATATAATAAAGGATGGCAAAATACTGTTCCCAAATTAAAAAATATATAATAAATTAATTAAAAAACTATTCTAATGGTGATGGTTTCTGTTGTTCCAGCAATGGGGAAACATTTAAAAAAGGTGGCTTATGATAAAATATATAATAAAATAATTAAAAAACTATTCTAATGGTGATGGTTTCTGTTGTTCCAGCAATGGGGAAACATTTAAAAAAGGTGGCTTATGATATCCTACCAACTGTGTAAAGCAAACATTTCACAGGGAGAATTATCACATACAAAGAGTATGCTACCATTTGTGAATCTGAGATGAATGAGGGTGGAGAAGACACAGACAGTAAAAACATCTTATACTGAAGCATAATGTATCTTAATTAAATGCAAGGTAAATAATTGAGTAGATGACTTACTGTGTATTTTTTATTCATTTTACACAAATACTAGTAAAACACCTAGTAAAACAGGTTTGTGATATACAATAAAAGAAAAATTCTCTAAAGAAGTTATATACACAGTTTCTCAGATATTAATATTTTAAGAATTAACTGAAGAGTTTAATAAAAATGGATATTTACAGGCCAAACCCCAGACTTTGATGTAGTAGATTTATGGTAGGACCTAGGTATCTTCAATCAAGTACTGAACAACCTCTGTCACTCTTGTAAGACGTAGCGATTGCTGTGGAGTTAACTTGTCCTATTTCTTACTTGAACTAAAGACGATGATGTCTAGGACAGACTGCACATTATTAGGGAAATTATAGTAGAAGTAAGACCAAGCCAAGGTCTTTTAGCTTAGCTAAAAAAGTGGGTTCAGAAAGATGCCTCCTGTCTCAAGGTAAAATATCTAGGGATAAGAATAGTGAAACAATCTCAGTTTTAATAGGGGGATAATAATATGATAGTGATTTTTAAAGGAAGGTTGATTTGATGGTTGGGTTGTAAGCTGGATATACAGTTAGAAGGTTTAAAATGAATTGAGAAATATGAGTATCAAGGAGGTATTTATAATAGAAAATAAAATAGCTGAGGAAATATTGGTAAAATATGTTGAACCTCCTTCCACATATCTAAAGATAAGCACCTAAAATTATATAAAATGTCATAAAAACCATTATTACAAACAATAACATTAACAATAAAAATAAAATAATCTTCAACAGGATTTTCAGATGTTTACTTGCATGATTCTTAAAACTCTGTAGGAGTTCAATAGCAGTTTGTATTGCCTAGAAAGTTCATTAAAAAGAGGTATCAGTATTCTAAATGGCAACGAATTTAACTATCTTTATAAACTATAAACAGATTTCCTGTCATCTCTAACACAGAAGAAGCTATGTTTGTGTTGTGCAGCATCATTTTATTAATATTATCATTTTGATTGTGGAAAATAGAGACTCAGTAAAGAAAGAGAGAAAATCTACTTGCCCCCAAGCTAAAAATTAGAAAGTGATTAAGGACCTAAAAGATATTTAGGTTATAATGCTAAGGATATAATAAATGGAATTACAGTTAGCATGTTAGGAGTAAAAAAAGTCAGATGAAGATATAATTTGAAATGGACTAAAAGGACAGGTAGGATTTGAATATAGCAGAAGAAGGAGTAGAGGAGAAGGAAAGAAATTGGCATGCATACGAAAATCTCCCAAGATTTTCTCTTATATCAGAATGTGTCAACAGTTTTCCACAGTTGATAATAATATGGCTAAGTAGCTTAATGCTCTGAAAGCAAATCTAAAGGAAGATGTTTCTTTATACATTTATTCATTCCTTACCTTCCTTTAGTGGGGTTTTGAGGGCAAAATTTTCTTTACTTTCATGATGAAAAGCCTTTGAAGGATCAAATTGCTTGATACCAAGAGCTTTATTCAATTCTTCCTGAAGTTTTGTCTCATTTTGTTTTCTTTTAGCAAGCTGAGAGCGGAGTTTTGATACTTCCTATCCAAGTAAAAGGTAGACAACAAACAGTTGTAAAACATCACGTTGGTGATATGTGTTAACCAATGTTATTGACAGATTCTAAAATTGCTTATGTAGCAAACTGAATTACAAGAATTATCCAGGCTTTAATACTATGAATTACAAAATGACTTTCAAGAGAGACAAAGGAAATAAAGAATCATTTAAAGAGTTTCCGGCTCCTCTACAAAGGGCTCTGGAAGTGCAGTGATTAAAGCACTCAGCTGTCATGCAAAAGGTTGAAAGTTCAAACCAACCAGCTACTCAGTATGAGAAAAATGTGGTAGTCTGCTTTTGCAAAGATTTACAGCCTTAAAAACACTATAGGGCAGTTCTAACCTGTCCTATTGGGTTACTATGAGCTGTAATCAACTTGATGACAAAGGATTTGTGTGGTTTTTTTTTTTCAGACACTCTATAGGTATAAAAAGGAGCTCTGGTAGCACAGTGGTTACGAGTTGGGCTGCCAACCTCAAGGTCAGCAGTTCAAAATTACCAGTGGTTCCATGGGAGAAAGATGAGGTGTTCTGCTCCCGTAAAGATACACAGCCTTGGAATGAGCTGGAACCGACTCCATGGTATTTACCACCACCACCACCACCACCAACAACAACAGATATAAATCTGTAGTGTTTATAAAATTGAATTGAAAATTAAACAGGTAACTATTTTTGAACACTATTTTTATGATATCTACATCAAAGACTTTGCTATTTTGCAAACAGAAATGGATGTCTAATGCCTTATGAATTCTTTCAATTACACTAGATATTTTCAATACACTAAGGAGTCCTGGCGGGACACTGCGGGTTAATGCACCAGACTGCAATGTCAGTTTGAACTGCATGATTGGCAGTTCAATCTCACCAGCTATTCCTCAGAAACCCTAACAGTGTCACTATGAGTCGGAACCACTCGATGGCACCTTAACAACAATGAGGTAATTGGGGGAGTACGGTAGCTCCATAGGATAAGCACTGGACTGTGATCCATGGGGTTGGTGGTTTGAGTCTACCAGCCACTCTGCAGGAAAAAGATGAGGCTTTCTGCTCCTGCAAAACATTTAAAGCCTTGGAAACCCTATACAGGGTCACTATGAGTCGAAACCAACTCCAAGGCACTTAGTAACAACAACAGCAACAAGGTAATTGGAGTCCTGGTGTGGTGCTATAGGATAAACACTAATCTGCTAACCCAAAGTTCAGTGGTTCAAATCACCCAGCTATTCCTTGGAAATACTATATACATGGTTGCTATGAGTCGGAACCAATTACATGGCACTTAACAACAACAACAAAACAATGAGGTAATTAGAAAACCTGAGAACATTAAATAGCCATCAGATCAACACTCTAAAACTCTGAACTCTTGAGATGGATTTTCCTCTATAAACTGTTATATTTTTTCTGATACCAATGTGCTTTGTTTTTACTTAAGTATTATAAATAGGATAATAAATTCACCCACCAGATATCATTAATAAAGGTTAATTTTAGTTAACAAACCGATTTGAGCTGGCTATTTTCATCTTTCAATTTCACAACATGCTTGATTTTTTGCTTTAGATTCTGATGACCCAGTAATTTAGCATACGAATCACTTAGTTTATTCAGTTGGTCCTGAGCTGCACCATGCTCATTCAACAAAGCCTGTTTCTCTGCTTCAAACGCATCCAGTTGTAGCTGGAAAACATTTTTTTTTACAAAGTTAAGACTTAAGACTTTTAAATATTTTTTTCTCTCATACAACCGTAAAGAAAGCTGAACCATTGAAAGCAAACAAACAAAATATATTGATATAGTCTCAAGACTCTCCCTAAATTCTCTATGAAAGTCTTTTAAACTTTCTATTTTCATTTCAAAGATCATTAAAACAGAGAGCAAAAGGGAAAATTAAAGAAGTGTCTCAGCCACTCTAATTGGTGTCAGCTGTATTAACACATTATAACAGAATACTGTTTCAGTATCAAAATTAGCATTCATACATTTTCTTTGAAAAGATCAGCATGCTAATCTGGGAAACACTGAGGTATTTCAAACAAAATGTAGATTACATATTCACATAGATTTATTCATATCAGGAAAGTTCATATCAGGAGAATCTTCTAAGCTAGTAACTCTAAATCCCTTATAGAAGGTATTTTTAAATTAGAAAGGCTACATTAAAAGATTAATGAATAACAATTTAATAAAATATATAGGCTTCTTTAATATGACATTAAATTAAACTATAAATGCACTGTAAAATGATATTCCAGAAAAAGCAAGTTACTGATAAGACTAAAAGGGAACAAAGGGAATTCTGAAGCAACCCCAAGTGGGTTTAATTCTAATTTACATACCTGGAAAGGTTTTGTTTTATTATATAGTTCTTCATAGAGGAGACGCCACTTTTTAATTTCCTCAGTTAGTTCTACTATTGTATTTTCTTTCTCAGCTTTTCTGTTAAGGCAAAATTAAATTAAAATGACCAATTAAGACATGTAGTTATAGAAAAAAATCATTGAATACCACAGCACTCACGTTCTAAATCTAGGTTACCTTACTTCTTCTTCCAACTGTTTCTTAAAGTCTTCATCTTGTTGCTTGAGTTGGTTCTGCAATTCAGTTATTTTTTTAAGAGACGTAACGGTCACTTCTTTAAGTTCTGCTTCTTTAAGTGCTGATTTGGTCTGCAGATCTAGAATCATCCTTGGGTTTTAGAAAGAAAGAGTCCTTTAAACATTTATAACCATTAGAATTAATTTTTTCCTTCTTTCTCCCTGTTATGATTGGATTATGTCTCCCCTCTCCACACACACACACACACACACACAAATAGGTCTTGAAATCCAGGCCCCTAAACCTGTAAATAACTTATTTGGAAACACAGTTTTCTTTGTTATGCTAACTAGGTCATATTGGAGTTAACCTGGGTTCTAAATCTGATTGCTTCTGAATTTTAAAACACACAATATGAAGATCCTAAGATAAAGAAGGACAAGGGGCCAAAGAATACCCAGGACTACACTCAAGGAAGGAATGCACAGGCTGGAAACCCTGATTTGGACTTTCTGACTCTAGAATTGAAAAAGTAAATTTCTAGTCCTTAAATTGCCTTAATGGTTCTCAGTCTACAAGTTTGGTTTTGCTTTATTCCTTCTACAAACCTTGTATATTCTTGATTTGCATTCTCAGTTGCCAGGATCTGATGTTGAACTTCCTCTGCACTTTTTTCAGCCTTGGCTACTTTTTCCTGTAATGAAGACTTCTCCAGCTTAAGACCTTCTATTTCACTGCTTAATCCTTTATAGCTTATTATTGGGGGGAAAAAAAAAAAGCGATTTTCAAAATACTGTATAAATGATAAACACACAGCTGATCAATTTATATAGTGAAACATTAAAAAACCTTATAGCACAATCTTGCATTTATTGTAATATTATATTATGCAATATAGATAATAATTTAATGTTCTGAGGTCAGTACTAGTGAACTTACATGCCATGTATTCACTGTTCATTCAAAGAAAAAAAATCCAGTGCTCTGGTAGTGTAGTGTATATGAATTGGGCTGCGAACCATAAGGTTAGCAGTTCGAAACTACCAGCTGTTACGCAGGAGAAAGATGAGGTGTTTTGCTCCTGTAAAGCTTTACAGCCTCAGAAACCCTGTACAGGGTCACTATGAGACGGCACACAGTCACTACTATGTGCAGAGCAAAGTTGTCAGCTTGAAGACTAAGGTGCGCCTGACCCAAGCCATGTTATTTTCAATAACCTCATATGCATATGGAAGTTGGACAGTGAATAAGGAAGACCATAGAAGAATTGATGCATTTGAGTTCTGGTGTTGGAGGAGAGTAATGAAAGTACCATGGACTGCCAAAAGAACAAACCAATCTGTGTTGGAAGAAGTACAGACAGAATGCTCCTTGAAAGTCATGATTGGCCAGACTTCAACTCTCATATTTCATACATATTACCAGGAGGACCAGTCCGTGGAGAAGGACATCATGTTTGGCAAAGTGGACGGTCAGAGAAAATGAGGAAGACCAATTGGCACAGTGACAGCAGCAATGGGTTAAGCATAGCAGTGACTGCAAGGTTGGCACAGGACCAGGCAGTGTTTCATTCTATCATGCATGGGATCGCTATGAGTTTGGTCCCAATTCGATGGCACTTAACAACACAACAAGAAGTAAGTATGTGGATTATTCTGGAGATTTGTAGAGAACAGATTGTGGAAGGGGCAGGAACAGAAAATTGGAAGAACAATTAGAAGATAATTATTTATCAGCCTATGGGAGTGATAAAGGAGACTTAGATTAAGAAAATGGCAGTGGAACCACACTAATAGAGAGAGATAAGAATTCTTTTGGAGGCAGACGAGAAATTCAAGATAGATTGGATGTGTCTATGTAGAAGGAGGTGGGGTAGAAGTAAACGACCCCATATAGGGTTTCTGAGGCTGTAACTCTTTAAGGGAGTAGGGAGCCTCATCTATTTCTTGTGAAGTGGCTGGTAGGTCTGAACTGTTGACCTTGTGTTTAGTAGTCCAGTACTTATCCTACAGTGCCACCAGGTCTCCATAAGATTTAAAGAATGAGATAGAAATTGTTAAGTGAAGAAGTCACTGACTGAAATTTAGAAAAAAGAGAGAAATAGAAATAGGAAAAGGTAGAAAGAAGATCCAGAGTTGTTTTGTACAAGTTAATACTAAATGCTACTGAGATAGCTATTTGAATGTATAAAGTAGACAGCTGGAGATATGGGAATGGGCCTAAAAAGCGGTCTTTTGTAGAAACAAATTGGAATGCTATTGGCATTGTTGATAGTAAATGCCATCTTATAATGGATAAAAATCTCCTAAGGCACTATTTTTCAAACTGTAAGTCATGATCATTAGTGAATAGGGAAATCACTTTCATAGAGTTGTGATCTGAAAGCATAACTTATACAATGTACACTGACACATACATAGATGCAAAGTACGGGAGCAGTGATTTACTAAATGGGATCCTTAGTTTTATGTTTTTTCTCAATTCATTATTGTTGATATCTAATTAATTTTTATAAAATGTAAGAGGAATTTTAAAGAAATGAAAAAGTTTGGTTATTTGTTTATTAAAGTTCTTGTTAATTAAATCTCTGGTTATAAGCAAGATTCATGTCTTCTAACCTTGGCTCTCCTGCTTGTTTTCTTAAATCCTGGGATTCACATTATTAGAATGTACTAGAAAATATTTTGTAATATTTTATATAACATTAATACAAACCCTTTTAGCTTCTCTTGTAGGAATTTTAGTTCCTCAGCTTTAGACTTTGTTTCCTCTTCTAGCTGCTTGAGGAGTCTTTCAGCTTGTTCCTCTTTTTGTTGTAATTTATCTAACTCTTCCAGCGCTTGCTTTAATTCTTCCTCAAAGAGACTTCTCTCTTTAATCATTTCCTCTTGAAAAGAACATAGCTTCTGCTGAAGACTAGAAGATAATTCCTGTATAAATAGAAATCCATCAAAATAATTTTGAAGTTTTACTGAGAGACAAAATAGAAATGCAGATAAAGAAGCATAAAAACGAAATGTTAAAAGTTTCAATTTTTCATGAGTTACATTTTACCAGTTGTTAACATTGTGGTAAATATTATCCCAGTCTTTGCTCTATGCATCATATACAACAAATGTCTTATAAAATTAAAATTATATTTTGCATGTTTTATAATTTTCTGCCAGCATATTTCTCTCACACAATATTACATAAAAATTATACTGTGATTTCAATGTTATAAAAAAAATTATAGATCATATAATTGGTGGACACCATCCTGTCAAGGAGCAGAACTGCGAGAAGCCTTATGCATGAGAAGTTCATTGTTTAGCAGAGCGACAATGAATGCCCCCCTTGGTTAGAAAAGCTACAAGGAATGGCTCATTCGGGGGGCCCTGTGGTTTCTAGCTTTTCCTTGGAATAATAGTTTATTTCTGATTTCCCTATAAGAAGTTTTAGAAAATCTTGCATAATCATTAGATACTTTAAACAAACCTCACGTTATAATAGTTGCCTTTCACATTAACTTTCACACCATATTCAATCTTATGTAGTTATAAAAATTGTTTTTTTACATTAACAATAAATTTTAACATTAGATATAACCACACTAGCTAAGGTTTTAGCAATTCAAGCTTAAAAGTGTAAGAAACATTCCAGGTGGTTTCAGTCAAGGACATTAAGGCTTTTAGAAAGCAGCTCAGGAGACAGTCAAGGGAAGTGAGAGCTTGGGAACAGAGGTAGGAGTTTGAATAGAAGTTTTGAGAAATTGTTAGCATCAGAAAATTACTTTGTTCTTAACTATGAAACTTTAGGGTACTTTTATGTTCTTGTTTTTATTGTTTGATCAATTATATGTATGACCAGTTATAGTAAAAATTATGTTTTTGATTATAAGCTGTAACTAATGAATCTACAGAAAGTAATAGTTGTTGGAAAAGTTAGAAATTAAGATGTAGAACTTTGTTTAAAATTAACCAGACATTTTAGGGAGGATTAGAGAGAAACAAGTTGCTCACAGAAGGCAGACATTATCACGGTAACTAAAGAGTAACTAAGGAGTATAGAGACACAAGAATGTTTGGTGACCTTGTGTTCCTCTTGTATTATTGATGTAACAATATAATATTTAATTGATTTGTAACTGCTTGTACGTGACTGTTATGAGATCATAGTATGTTCTAAATGGGATATAAGAAGCAACAATTTTGAAAATAAACAGTCAAGGCAGCAGTCAGAGAGAGAGTCATCAGAAAAGAGCCATTACCATCATCTGCCTGAGACTCAAAATGACCCATTGACTCTTTGAGTTTTTTTTTTTTTCATTCGCTGACTCCACATCCTCCTATCGAGACCCTCCTAATAATTTGCCAAGGCTGGTCCCCGACATATAATATACAAACACGTTGTTGTTGTTGTCAAGTGCCGTCGAATCAATTCCAACCCATAGCGACCCTGTACAGGGTTTCCAAGGAGCAGCTGGTGAGCTTGAATCGCCGACCTTGCAATTCAAATGGATTTGCAGTCTGGCACATTAACCCACAGCACCACACACATTAGCACTAAGTAAAATTATAACAACACAAACAAAGTGAAAATTATCTTTGCTGACTCCTCAACTGAATCTAGTTGTCCCACTTCAGAGACGCTACTAGTTTATTTAGCATATCTATTTTCTGGTTACACAGTTGGCTGCTAACTACAAGGTCAGCAGTTTAAACCCATCAGTCACTCAATGGAAAAAAGATGAAGCTATCTTCTCCTATAAAGATACACAGTATCAAAAACTTACAGCTGCAGATCTATTCTGTCTGGTAGGGTTGCTAGAAGTTGGAATCAACGCAATGGTACTGGGTTGGGTGGGCATATATATATGTATATACATATATAAACAAACACACATATTTTGGGGAGTGGAGATAAGAATGGAGTTAATTCTTTGTATGTAGTTACTTTTAAACACAACATAAACATTTTTTTGACCAGGTTTGTATATATCTAGTTTGACTTCATTCTTTCAATTGTTGCAGTGTATCCAATAGCATACTTCATATGGGTGATTGACAAGTACCTGCTTGCCCAACTCTGATCAACATGCTATATTAACAAATGTTTTAATAAGTGGCAATCTCATAAGTAGAAATAAAGTTATTTTCATCTCCTTTATTTCTACTCTAGTCTTGTATACAGGCTACCTGGATGTCCACTTGTAAAAACTGCCTATTTTTATCCTATGCCCATTTTTGTTTCAGTGGATTGATTTTTTTCTTAGTGATATGTAAAATGGTATTTATATAATCTTGATTTTTAAAATCTATTTTATTTCCTTTACAATTAGACCCTAATAACAATGTAGTTATTCATGAGTCAGAATTGACAACTTTATGGCAGAGGGTTTGGCTTTTGTTGGTTTGGATATAGTTAGTAATCCTACCATAAGAATGGGTCTTGAAATGATCAAAAATTATTTCCCTATTTGGTGGCATCTGGTATGTGTAATTTTTCACATTATCAATAACACTGTGGTGAAGATCTATGAAGCTAAACCATTAGCAAATTATAATATTATCCTAAAAATAGACTTTTTGGATCAAAGAATATATATGTAATTTAAGATTTCGGATATTTATAGATAAATTTATGACACAACATAGGTACTGTTTTTGTTTGTTTGTTTTTGTAATAAACTACCTTTTCTTGTTGCAGAAATAAACCAACTTGTAATTCCTTTTGTTGTAACTTTTCATGTTCTTGACTTTCAAAAATAAACTTCTCTTTTAAACTTTGTAGCTCAGCAGTTAGGTTTTCAACTTGTTTTTTGTTGCTGATGACAAGGCCTTCTATAAAAGAGACAACATCAAAAATACTATAACCTGATACTATTATCAACTTTGAGTCACCAACATTCCCATAATATTCTACTATATTGCTTTTACCATGTTAATAAGTGTTTCCAAAAATGGGGTAGCGGGATACCCCTGAAGTTCATATATTGAATGAACATTAAAGAATAATTTTACATCAAGTTACTGAATCAATCAAAGGTTACCAAGTTAACAGTTATTAATTTAGCCTAATTTTGAAGTCTGAATTATAGATTCCTTGAGAACTAAACAAGAGGTATAATTCTGAGAAAAAATAATTTTGTGAAGAGCTAAGCCAGCACTTGTCTTTCAGTTTTTTGTGCTGTAGTAGCTTGAGTGTTGCTGTGATGACGGAAGCTATGCTATGGGTATTTTAAATACCAGCAGGACCACCCATGGTTGACAGGTTTCAGTAGAGCTTCCAGACTAAAGCAGACCAGGAAGGAGAAGGGGATTACTTCTGAATGTTTAGCTACTGAATACCATATAAATAGCAGTGGAACACTGGTAGTTGAAAACAATATGAATAGAAGTAAAACATTGCTAGATACAGTGACAAAAGATGAGCCCCTCAGGATGGATCTCATTTAAAATGAGGAGAAATACTGCACATATATTAATAATTGGAATATGGAATGTACGAAGTATGAATCTAGGAAAATTGGAAGTTATCAAAAATGAAATGGGATGCATAAAGGTCAATAATCTTATAATTAGTGAGCTGAAATGGACTGCCCTTGACCATTTTGAATCAGACAATCATATAGTTTACTATGTTGGGAACAACAAATTCAAGAGGAATCGTATTGCATCCATCCTCAGAGAGAACATTTCAAAATCTATCTTGAAGTATAATGCTATCTGTGATAATATACATACACCTACAAAGAATACTAGTCAATACTCAAAGTCATGCACTAACCACTAAAGCTAGTGATGATGAAACTGAAGAATGCTACTAACTTCTTTAATCAGAAATTGATCAAACATGCAATCAAGATGCATTGATAATAGAATGTGAAGGTTGGAAACAAAGAGGGAACAAATGGTCATTGGATAATATGGGTTTGGTGACACAAATGATGCTGGAGATCCCATGTTAGAATATTGCAAGGCCAATGACTTATTCATTGGAAATACTTTTTAAAAAAAAACATAAGAGGATCTCACTACCATCAGAGAAGAGCCTTTGGATCCCAAGACCCCTGCTCATTGAACTTCCTTTATCCAGGGATAGAGAGCTGTGACACTGAGAGTGTTGTAGAGGAACCAAAGCAACAGAACCAAGAACCAGATCACAAGACAAAGCAGTGGGCTTCCATGGAATAAGTACAGCTCAGTGACTCTGGGTTGAAGGTTTGCTTGTAGAGTGGAATGCCTCCAGGCATTTAATTGGAGGGGGTGGGTGGGGCCTTAAATTTATTTGACATAGCTTTTTAATCCAAAGTCTTCTAAATTCCTACCAAGTAATTGGGTGGAACCATGTAAATAAGGTATAGAGGCTGGTATTGGTTAATTTCGCCCTCCAGCTAGATTTAAAAGGAATCACATCTTAGAAGCAGATGAAAGATCCCAGGTCCATCAAGAAGGAAGAACATGAGTGGAGCATGAGATGTCAATAGATGACAACAGAAATGACAGCAGAGACAATAGCAGAGACGGTAGCATGGAGAGAGACAACAACTTCCAGTTCTAGGCTTATGACTGAATAAACCTGGGTGCCTAAAGGTAGGAGACTGGCTTGCAGAATGTGGCCTTTGAGCATTTACAACCTGGCTAAAGAACTTTGTATAACTTTTCTGAGCAGGGCAGAGGCCAAGGGGCCACATGGCTGAGAGGCCAAAGACAAGAGTTACAAAGTATATATAACATATAACTCTGTAACATGGCAGACAGGAGGCTGACTGGAGAACTGCTGCATCCTGAGTTGGTTTTGACCCTGAATTGCACCCTGTTCACCTCCCTAATATAGCCCATAATCTTGAGTGTTGTTATGAGCTCTATGTGGCCACTGCAATGGATTATTGAAACTAGATGTGAAGCAGAGAGTGCTATAGAAGGAATGGTTGGTGTCAGACTAGGGTAAAGAAGGTTGTAGGGTGGAAGCATTTTTCACCTCCTTTTCATAGGAATCAGCCTGGGGCTGATTTTGAGTTTGACTCTCTTTCCCTCTTGTGAAGCCAGGAGAAGTCAGACATGGTTCCCACATGGGTTAAGCAGGGAGCTAGTTTTTCAGACCCATTGAGTTAGAGCTGAGTGCCTTCAAGCTGAGGCTTATGGCAGAGTGGTGCTCCTGTGGGCATTTGTCAACGACTCTAAAAGAGCTTTATAACACTAGAGGGCAGACAAGAGGCCTTCCTACGGGCATGGCTAAGGAAAGGTTCTCCTGAATAGAACATCTGTGCCCTGAGCATTCCTGACTCTGAATTGCAGCCTGTTAACTTCTCTAATAAATCCCAAAACTGTAAAAAAAACAAAACAAAAACAACCATAAAAGACTACTGTACACATGGACCTACATGAAAACACAAAAATCAAACTGACTATATCTGTGAGAAGAGATGATGGAAAAGCTCAACATCATCAATCAAAACAAGGCTACTGACAGACTGTGGAACAGACCAGTGATTGCTCATATCCAAGTTCAGGCTGAAGCTGAAGAAAATTAAAACAAGTCCACTAGAGTCAAATTATAAAAATGAATATATCCCACCTGAATTTAGAGACTAACTAAAGAAGAGATTTGATGCATTAGACATTAATGAGCAAAGAACAGAAGAGTTGTGGGATAGTATAAAGAACATCATACAAAAAGAAAGTAAAAGATCATTAAAAATATAGGAAAGACAAAGATGACCAAAAATGGATACCAGAAGAGACTTTGAAGCTTCTCTTGAGCATAGAAAAGCTACAGAAATGGAAAAAAATGAGGAAGTAAAAAAAAAAAAAAAGCTGAAAAGAAAATTTCAAAGGATGTCTGTACAAGACAAAGTATAATTAAATGTGCAAAGACCTGGAGTTAGAAAACCAAAATGGAAGAACACATTCAGCATTTCTCAAACTGAAGGAACTGAAGGAAAAAATCCATATTTGTGCCCATTCCAAACAGAGATGACCCAACAGAATGTGGATACCATCAAATATCATGAAGATCATATACAAGTAAAATGTTGCTGAAGATGATTAAAAAACAGTTGCAACAGAATTTGAAGCCAGATTTATAAGATAATGTGGAACTAGGAATATCATTGTTGACATTAGATGGATCATGGCTGAAAGCAGAAAATACCAGAAAAATGGTTACTTGTGCTTTATTAACTATGCAAAGGCTTTTAATTGTGTGGATCATGACAAACTTTGGGTAATATTGAACACTCTAAAGAGGTCATGTGCCACAGACTTGCCTAATTAATAAGTCATTTTATTTCTTGACTACTGCTTCCATGAGTGTATAACTTCAAACTTATCTCCATTTATCATGATGCTATTCATTGTGAAGAATGGATATTCCAGAACACTTAATTGTGTTCTTAAGAAACTTGTGGATAGACCCAGAGGCTTTATTTTTAAAATAGAACAAGAGAATACTGAATAGTTTAAAATCAGGAAAGGTGTGTGTGAGGGCTGTATCCTTTCATCGTACTTACTTAATTTATATGCTGAACAAATAAAATAATCTGAGAAACTGGATTATATGAAAAAGAATGTGGTGTCAGTATTAGAGAAAGACTCATTAACAATCTGCAATATGCAAAAGATACAACCTTGCTTGCTGGAAGAGAACTTGAAATACTTACTGATGAAGACTGAAGAAGACTACAGCCTTCAGTATGGATTGTATGTCAGTGTAAAGAAAACAAAAATTCCTCACCATAGAACAGATGAATAATGGAGAAAAGATTGAGTTCCACACTCATGGAAGCAGTAATCAAGAAATCAAATGTCTTATTGATTAGGCAAGTCTATGGCACAAGTCTTCTTTGACGTGTTCAACAAAGAATATCAACTTGAGGACTAAGATGCATCTGACCCAAGTCACGGTGTTTGCATATGCATGTGGAAGTTGCACAATTAATAAGGAAAACTTTAGAAGAATCAATGCCTTTGAATTACGGTGTTGGAAAATAATATTAAAAGTACCACGGACTGCCAGAAGAACAAATAAATCTGTGTTGGAAGAAGCAGAGCCAGAATGTTCCTTAGAATCCAGGATGGTGAGACTTCATTTCTATTATTTCAGACATGTTATCAGGAAGGAACAGTCCCTGGAGAAGGTAAAGCGGAGGGCCAGCAAAAAGGAGGAAGACCCGCAAGGAGATGGATTGACACACTGGCAGCAGCAATGCGCTCAAATGTAACAACTGTGAAGATGGTGCAGGAGTAGAGAGTTTCGTTTTGTTGTGCATTGAGCTGCTATTAATTGGAACCAACTTGACAGCACCAGACAACAACTACAAGCAAGTATAGAAATTCTTATACATCAGCACACACTTAAAGTCTTAAATGTGGACAAACCTAATTACGGTGAGCTGCACTCAAGACATTCCTCTGTTTCATTGCTATAGTTTCACTGAGGGATTGTTTCTGGTCCTCCAAGAAAGAATACAATTGAACCAAACCTAGAATCTACGTTAGTTACACTGGTTTACAGTTGTAGAATAGTAATTTAGAATAAAAATATTTAATAAACTTGAAAGATTTAAAAAATCAAATAAAACTGCCAAACCTAGTTCTATATATCTTATAAATGACCTCCTAGGTGGGAGGTTGTTAGAGTAGTGGTTATGAATCAGGCTGCAAACCGCAAGGTCAGCAGTTCAAAACTACCAGCTGTTGTGCAGGAGAAAGATGAGGCATTCTGCTCCCGTAAAGATTTATAGCCTCGGAAACCCTTTACAGGGTCGCTATGAGTCGGAACCGACTCCACGGCACACAGCCACCAGTTGGGAAGCTGGGTACTCCACAACTGTATACATTTCAATCAAGACAAGCTATACATTGACATAAACAGACAAAAACATTATAATAGTGAAGAAAATCCCATCTATCTTATAGGATTTTTTATTGTCTATTTGGAAAATTGTCAAAATGTGTTTTAGCATAGCAACGGTTATTTTTTTCTTAAAAATTATATGTAGTACTTATTTAAAGAAGTAATATTAGAAACACTGTAATACCTTTTTCATTTTCAAGCAGTTGACATCTAGCATTCAGGTCTTGTATTTGTTTAGACAACATATCAGCATTTTCCTCCAGAGATTGCTTTAAGCTTAAAATTTCATGATTCTTCCCCTTTAAATTTTCTTCTAACTGGGTAATATCTATCTTGTATTTTTCCACTTGATCTGATGCAGAACTACATTAAAACAAATTATTTTGAATACTGCAAGTATTTAGGAACAAGGAAAACTAACCAAAAAAATGATGAAAATAATATATTCCTCATAATTCAACAAAATAAAGGCCAAATTAAAACTATTTTTCATATTACCTAATTTCTTCAATGTATTCTAAAAGTTTCACTGTTTCAGATTTTTCATCAATCTTTTCTTTCTCTATAGAAACCCTAAAAAAAAAAAAAAGTATATATTAATACATACTTGTGTTGTTAAGTGCGGTTGAGTCGGTTCTGACTCATAGCGGCCCTGTATAGAGTTTCTGAGGAGCAGCTGGTGAGCTTGAATCACAGACCTTGTAGTTCAAGCTGACCTCGCAGTCCAGAGCAGTAACCTGCAGCACCACACCAGGACTCCATAAAAGCCTACAGCACCTGGTATTCCCAGGCAGTCCCATCTAAGCACTAACCAGGCCTGACCCAGCTTAGCTTCTCGGATCAAGTGCATTCAGCTTGGTATCTCTGTAGACAATATATACTAGTATATGTATTTAATAATGACATATGATACTTACAATATGCCAGACACCATTGTATCAGGAAGGTTGGTTGCAGAGCCCAAACTCTTAACCATTATTTTTGTGAATTCTAAAGTTGGCAATTTATATGTAAATAGGAGAAAAGTGAAAAAGTTTTCTAAACATATTGTTACAAAGGCAAGTGTTTGAAATCATCTTTTTTGTAGCTTCCTGATTTTATCCATGCAACATAAATACAAAATTTTGTGTGCTAGTGAAGTCTTTGTCACAGACTGCTTTCTATTCAGTCATATTTTGAGTTGCTGCCAAACTGAGGGCCTTATCTTCCAGCAATATATCCTCTGGTATTCATAAGATTATCAACGGCTAACCATAAGTAGTTATGGTTAAACTTCTTCCCAGTTTGTCTTAATCTGAAAGCTCCACTGAAATGTGTTGACCATGGGTGATCCTGGTGGCATTTAAAACACGGGTGGCATAGCTTCCAGTATCACAGAAACCCACAAGTCTCTCCAGTAGGACAAACAGATAAGTCATACAACAGTGGTATAGAACAAAAAAAAGGAAATAAAATGCATTAAGGTGGCAAAGAAAGAAGTAAAGCTATTGTTAATCTCAGATAAAATGATTGTGTAAGTGGAAAAACTCTGGAAAGCTACAAAAATTAAAATATGATTGCTATTTTCAAAAAGCAATTCAATGCAAAAGGAAAGCCATTTTACAAATGGAGATAAAATATATAGATATCTTTATGGATAAAAGTAAACTTTGAACCCTGTTGTCACACTAAAACAAAAATAATGATTACAAACAGATCACAGATCTAAATGAAAAAAGTAGACTAATAAAGCTTTGGAAAGCCAACCTAGGAAAAATATTCTCTACATTTCTGTTCCTGTAAAGATTTACAGCCTTGGTAATCTATACATGGTTGCTATGAGTTGGAACTGACTCGGTGACACACCATCACCATCACCACGATGGTACAGAAAGTTTTTATTATTATAAAAATAATAACTGTATATGCAGGGAGGGGATTATGATCACTGAGATGGAACAAAGCATATTATTTGTTGAAATTTTAAGCTGATGATCTTGGCTTTAACTGTCACTCAATTCACAATAAAAAACTTTTTTAAAAAAAGCTATCTAAAGTAAGAAAATCAGTAAGCTAAACTGCATCAAAATAAAAATATCTACTCATCAAAACATACAATAAAAGAAAAAAAAAAAGGCTAAGCCTGGATAAACTGTTGATTGAGATACATCAGGGGGCTTCAAAAAGTTTGTGGAAAAAAGGGATGAAAAGATAATGGAGTTAGATAAACAAAAGAGAAGAACACACCCAGCATTTCTCAAGCTGAAAGCACAGAGGAAAAAATTAAAGTCTTAACTTTCAATATTGAAGGATTCTATGGGCAAAATATTGAATGATGGAGAAAGTATCAAACATAGATGGAGGGAATACACAGAGTCATTGTACCAAAACAAAATGGTCGATGTTCAACCATTTCAAGAGGCAGCATATTATATGATCAAGAGTCCATGATACTGAAGGAAGAACTCCAAAGTGCATTAAAGGCATTTGCAAAGAACAAAGCTCCGGGAATCGATGGGATACAAATTGAAATATTTGAAGAAACTGAGGCAGCACTGGAGGCACTCATTCATATATGCAAAGAAATCTGGAAAACAGCTACCTGGTGAACTGATTGGAAGAGAACCATAAGACCAAAGTGAGGTGACCTAAAGGAATGCAGAAATTATTGGACAATATCATTTATATCACATGTAAGTAAATTTTTGCCAAGGATAATTCAAAAACATTGTAACAGTAGCTTGACAGGGAACTGATAGAGGTTCAAGCCAGATTCAGGGAGGGACATGGAACAAGGAATATCTCTGCTGACATTAGATGAATCTTGACTGAAAGCAGAGAATACCAGAAAGATTTAACCTGTCACTCAATTCACAATTGACTATGTGCTTTATTGACTATGCAAAGGCTTTCAATTGTGTGGATCATGAGAAGCTATAGACAACATTGCAGAGAACAAGTATTCTGGAACATTTAATTGTGCTCATGAGGAATCTGTACATTGATAGAACAAGAGGAAATCATTCGAATAGAACAAGGAAGAACTGAATGGTTTTTAAATGGGCAAGGTATACACCAAGGTTGTATTATTTCATCACATTTATTCAGAAACTGGATTATATACAGAAGAACATGGCATCAGAATTAGAGGAAGACTCATTAACAACCTGCAATATGCAGATGATACAACCTTGCTTGCTGAAAAGTAAAAGGATTTAAAATGCTTACTGATGATCAAAAACCACATTCTTTGGTATGGGTTGTACCTCAATATAAAGACAAGAAAAATCCTCACCACTGAATCAATAAACATCATGATAAATGGAGAAAAGAATGAAGCTGTTACAGATTTCACTTTGCTTTGATCTACCATGGAAGCAGCAGTCAAAAAATCAAAAGACATTGCATTAGGCATATTGCTGCATAAGACCTCTTTAAAGTGTTCAAGAGCAAAGACATCAGTCTGAGGACTAAAGTGCACCTACCTCACTCAAACCATGGTATTTTCAATAACCTCATATGCATGTGAAAGTTGGATAATGAATAAGGAAGACCATAGAAGAATTGATGCATTTGAATTCTTGGTACCATGGACTACCAGAAGAACAAACAAATCTGTGTTGGAAGAAGTACAACCAGAATGCTTCTTAGAAGCATTACCAGATTTGGTCTGACACACTTCAGACATATTATCAGGAGACATATACATAGATTTGGTCTGTCATACTTCAGACATGTTATCAGGAGGAACCAGTCCCTGGAGAAGAATATCATGCTTGGCAAAATAGACGATCAGAAAAAATAGGGAGACCCCCAATGAGATGGATTGGCACAGTGGCAGCAGCACTGAGCTCAAGTATAGCAACAATTGTGAGGCTGGTGCAGGACCAAGCAGTGCTTCCTTCTCCAGTACACAGGGTCACTATGGGTTGGAAACAACTTGACAGCACTTAACAATAACAACAAAATGATGTTAATGAGGCCAGATATAATCTACAGGAATAGGCTGTATCTTGAGTCAATCTCTATTGATATATAAAAGGATAGAGAAGTGAGCAGAGCTCAGAGGGACCTAGTACCTGGGGCCCATGTACTATAAAGCTCCTAGATGCAGGGGAAGAACCATACCAAGATGTATGGAGATCTCCAAAGAACACTGGGCCTACAGATGATGAAATGAGACAAGGATGTTTCCCCAGAGCAGAGAAGAAGAAAGTCTTACCCTAGAGCCAGCACTCTGAATTTGGACTTCTAACTTGTGAGAAAACACTTTTCTGGTTGTTAAAGCCATCTACTTGTTGTATAGCTGTTATAACAGCATAACTCTTGTGGTACATTCATCTAACTTCCCAGCATATAATGTTTGGGAGTAATCAGTCTATTATAAAGGAGAGAAATAGGGCAATGAGAGGGAGACAATGAGGTAAGTATTGAGAGAAAGTTAAAATCTTGGTAAATAATAAGCTGAGAAAGGCAAATCTAGAACTGATTATCATGAATAGTTTTGTTTCCTTTTTAGCCACTTACAATTTCCCCTCAAGTTGTGTTATCTTCCCCTGAGATTCTTGGAGATTCTTCTGGGTAACATGAAGCTTCATCTCCATATCTTCTTGTTTAGCCATCATACTCTATACAACAGAGATAAATGTCTTAGGAAGTGAGAAATTGTTCAGATCCCTAGATATAGACACAGTAAACTTACCTTCATCTTTATTTCTCTTTTATTTCTTAGTTTCATCAACTCTAGGCTTAGAATTCTCATGTTCTTCTGGTTACCATCTTCAGAAAACTAGATAAAAAAAAACAAGTAAAAAAAATTCAGAAACATTTGCTGTTAAGTCACATATAAAATTCATTAAACATTCATTATTGTAACCTATTATTTGGTGTATAATTAGCTTAGAATATATTTTGGCAAAGAAAACAGTCTTTGACCAATATCACAATTACTGAGTGTACATCACTGTTTTTGTTTCTCCTATCCCTAAACGTCACCTTTTACCTTTCAATTTAAAAGGTAGCCTTTGTAGTCACTATTCTATACACTAGAGAGTCCATTGCAAGACTTTGAAACAAGCCTCTTGGGAGGAATTTCATGAAGAGTGTTCGTGTAACAAAGTTCATTACAATCACCGAGGCCTACATCAGACTCTCCCTGGTGGAACACAGGAATCTGTTCCTTTCACCACGTCTGGTTTTTATGCACTCCAACTTTTAATAATTAAAGATGTACACATCCACAAAAGCACTGTATCCTTACACCCACTCTAACTGCTCAAAACAGGCAACACCAGACACAGTATTTATCAAAACCTGAGACTGTGATCCTTCTCATTTGAAAGAGGTGATTAGTAATAATAGTTGCTAATATTTACTGAGTGTTGTGCTCAGAGCACCGATCGTCTCAATTTATCTTTATTAAGAATCCTATGAAGTTTCTATTATCCACAGTTACAGATGAGGAAATTGCAGCAGGTAAATAACTAGCTAATGGCCACTCAGCTGTTACATTGCAGAGACAGGACTCCATACCCCTGCTGTAGCCCAAAGACCTGTAGCAAGTTTGGAAAACCAGCAGTCCTACTCGATATGCACAATGTTTACTTCAAGTAAATTCTTCCTCTAATCCATAACTTCTAGAAGAAGAAAGGGCTTACAGCCTACTTATGATTTTCTAATGTCTAAATTGTGGTTGGGGTTCTGGTGTGGTACTGTAAGATAAACACTGGACAGATAACCACAAGGTCAGCATTTCAAACCCACTAGCCCTCCTGGGAAACCCTATACAGGGTTGCTATAAATCTGAATCAACTTAATGACAACAACAACAAACTGTTGTTAATCACAATTTGTGTTTGCAATGGAAATCAATTTTTTGTCTGCATATTAAATCCTTTTCAAATTCTACCATTTTCTCCATCTCTTGGAAAATAATCTCATAGCAAAAGAGATAATTATTGTGCCAACACTTTAAAATGATAGAATCTGAATAAGTCTTAGTAATCCTTGAATTCATAATTGTCAGGGGTAGAGGTAGCACATTTCATCTGGTTTAGAAACACCAATCTAATGATTACCTAAAAAGGCAATTCCTGCCTCCAGTCCTTGACACCTACACTACAGTAAAAGGAAGGGCAACTTTATACTTTTAACATCCCAAAGAAGAATGAGTTCTAAAGCTCATTACAGAGTATAGAAATGGCCTGTAATAGACTTATAAACCCATTAGATCACACACACATTTTCATGAACTGCAAATAATGGCATTTCTGGTAAAAGACGTCTTAAGGATATATTATATCCCAAAGTTTAAGTCACTAGAAAGAAATATGAGAAAGTGGTTAGAGTTAAGCAGGCCAACTCAGCTACTTATTCCTTGTCAGACTGTATGAAGTTATTCAACTGCTCTCATTCTACCTAAATGAGACACCCAGCTTTAAGGTTTTCTAAATTCCAGAGTCAACAGTGCTATGGAATACCACATTTAATGCAAATAACATGTACCTTATGTAATTTTTGAAAACTGTACAATTCCCTCTGTGTCAGTTTTCTATGCTATTTCCTAGACTATTTACTGGGTACTTTGTTATTGCTGTTATTGTTGATAAGTGCCGTGAAGTCAGTTCTGACTCATAGTGACCCTGTAAAGTGTTTCTGAGGAGCGGCTGGTGAATCTGAACCACTAGCACTGTGGTTGAAACTGATCTTGTGGTCTAGTGTTTATTCCACAGCACCACACCAGTACTCCACTGGGTGAATTGCTGCTGGTGGTGATGTGCTGTGGAGTTGGTTCTGACTCACAGAAACCCTATGTAGGGTTTCTGAGGCTGTAAATCTTTATGGGAGAGAACAAACAAGATGGCGGATGGGGTAGAAGTGCAGTGAGGAGCTCCATCAGCAACAACACAGAATAACGGACCAAACAGGCTCAGGGGATGGTGCCAGAGCTCTGAAACACATATAGAGGAATATTTAGAAGTTTGGAAGGCTTCCAACTAGGGGCAGTTGTAGCAGAGGCAAGAAATTCATTGCTTTCTAATCCAAGATGCTTAGCTGCTCCTGGAGCTACCATCTTGGGTGTGACCAAGCCGTAAAAGGATCAGAAGAGCCACAGATGCCTGACAGAACTATGGGGATAAAGGTGTGGCCAGTCTTTTTTTTTTTTTTTTTTAATCTGTTCATTGGTATCTTGCTATACCTCCATTCAGGTGACTAGAGGGGTGCTGGAGTGAGTGGATCCCCACAACCACCCCTGGAGGGTAGTATTATATATGCACACAGACATAGACGTCCTCAAAATTTAAAGTGACAGTTTCCACTTATAACCAAACAGCCGTGCAAAACGGCCACAGCTGGCCCTGATCTTTTATCACTAGGGAAAAGTCTGAACGAGGATTGTGGAGTAAAACAGGCAGACTAAAAAGGAAATAGGCTGAAAATTAACTCATGAGTTATGTCACAACGACCAACAGTGGCATTTTGAAATTTCTCAGGAAGAAGAGTTAAAAAAGAAGCCCATCTCCTGATCACATCTACTTGGAGGAATCAGAAAGCATAAAAAATACCAAAACACACACCCATCTAAGAATTAAGGCCACAAATAACTCCTGAATATGCCCAAAAAACAGAAACAGATGACCATATCAGCACATGTTCAGAAACGAGATAAAGTGACTGAGGCAAATGAGCTGGAAGTAGACCTACATTCCATACTGGAAGATGTACAGGCTTTGGAAATGCCTGAGAAGGAATTCAGTAAAATGATTATAAAAGGTATCAAGGCACTATACAATGGAGTTGAGAAAAATAAGGAACAATCAAGTAAGATAGATACAGCATTGGAAATAATTCAAAACCTACAAGAAAGAGGTCCAAATGATTACTAATAGAATATCAGAAATGGACAATACACTGAACGGACAAAGAAGCAGAACTGAAAAGACAGAAGCCAGAACTAGTAAGCTAGAAGATAAATCTCTCAACACTACTAAGATAGAAAAGCAAGCACAAAAAATTATAAAAAAAAATTTGAAGAAGGCCTAAGATTCATGTTGGACATGAAGAGGAATAACTTAAGAATTATAGGCATTCTGGAGCAGGAAGAACCACACAAGTCCACAGAGGAGATAGTTGAAAGATGCTAGAAGAAAATTTTCCTAACATCCTGAAAAGCAAAAAGATAAGCATTCAAGAAGCTCAACGAACCCTAGGAAGGATAGACCCTAAAAGAAAATCACCAAGACATATAATAATCAAGCTCTCCAAAAGCAAAGATAAGGACAGAATTCGGAAAGCAGCTAAAAGTGTAACATAGAAAGGCAAACAAATCAGATTAAGCTCGGATTTCTCAATAGAAACAATGCAGGCAAGAACTCAATGGGGAAACATATATAAAACCCTGAAAGAAAAAAACTTCCGACTGAGAATCCTCTACCAGCAAAGCTGTTAATCAAATACAATGGTGTAATGAAAACATTCCAGGAAAAACAGAAGCTAAGGGATTTTGCCAAAGCCAACCCTGCTATGAAAAACATCCTAAACGGAGTTCTGTGGACTGAGAACCAAAAAGAACAGACAACAATCAGAGAATGACGTATGTGGCAGCATCTCTCTGAACTCAATCGACAAATGGAAGAGTCAAGAACAGAATAAAATTATAAGAACAGAGGATCTGGGAAGTCAGTCTATCAAAATAATTACAATGTGAAAGAAGGTAAATGCAGAGAAACAGAGATCCAGGTGGTGAGAAGGTCAGGGAGATTACAGGATAAAATAGACTGTCTTAAATGGAAGGAAGAATTAATGGAATATAAGATAATCACCAAAAGAGCTCTGGTAGTGTAGTGGTTATGAATCGGGCTGCTAATCTCACGGTCAGCAGTTCGAAACTACCAGCTGTTCTGTGGGAGAAATGTGAGGCTTTCTGCTCCTGTAAAGATATACAGCCTTGGGAACTCTGTGCAGGGTCACTATGAGTTGGAACTGACTCCACGGCACATAACAACAACAACAACAACAACAAGGTAATCACAACAGTGGGGTTGGGTTGGGGAGTTTAGTTCAGGTGTTTGGGAGGGCAATATAAGAAGGGGGAGGAGGTGGAAGAACAAGATAGATAGGGGAACACTGAGACAGGTTTACATGGCCTAAGTGGGACAGAGGTAAATAGTGATGCATGCTCAAACTTGGAACAACAGGGCTCTGCGATACAGTGATCGAAGCATAGTTTGAAGAGGGGAAATAACATTGAAATGCTTGACTGTCTTATAGAATATTGGTTTTCCTCGCCTACTATTGTAAAATAGACACTTGAGTAAGATAGGAAGGAATTTTGGGAAACATGATTACAGAAAACTTTTAAGCCCATCTTTAGCCTATAACTGATTAGAATACCTAAAAGGGTTCTAGAACTTGCCCAGTGAAATAGGCCTCGTGCAAAGCCTTTGCAGAGTATAGGACCTTAGGTGGAATCCTGAATCCCATCCAAAACCTTATGAGGTGGGACATTCCCACTAGCAAGGACAAGCAGACCAGTCTGGAACAGCTAGAGCAACAGAAGATACATCTTCAAAGAAAGAGCATCAGGAAAAACCCCAAACAAAAGTGTCAGCATGACTGGCTACTACAAGAATAAGCAAGCTGTTCACCAGGAAGCCATCAAGGCAAGCAATCAAGTTCCTTCAGGACAAATTCCCTCTAAGACTGAAACTCAAAGAGAACACACGAACAGACATGTAAGCTTGCTGGCGACTACATTGGTCTGGTGAGTGGAAATGGGGGAAAGGCAGCAATGAAGAAATGGGCTGAGTTCAACCACAGTCCATTGACCCCCATTGACCTGGGAAGAGGAAGGGCTGCTGGTCTAAACTGTGGTGAGACCTGGGGACACCTGAGCCCATAGACAAGGACATAGCCACAGAGGGCTATAGCTGAGAGTGAAGCTTCCAGCTGATATGAAGTGAGGGGAGATGCACAAGAACACACAAACTTGCAGATAGTACCCATCGGACCTAGCCTTGATGGCTTGATAATCAGATCTCGACTAGAGGAAGATTACAAAAAAAAAAAAAAAATTTTTTTGATTAAGGAAACAAGGGTAAATTGCTACAATTTGATGAATCTGACGTATACTCATGGAGGTAGTAACTCTAAATACCAACAAAGAGGCAAGGAGTCTTCACATCAAGTATCAATGCTATCCCCTCTGTACACAGGGTAGATAGGGATGGGCAACTTAGACATTGGCTACCTAAAGCGAGAGGGTGATAAAAGCATGAAGGGACTGGCTTACAGGTTTTCAAGAGGGAGTTTAGTTTAAGAGTGTAGGGGGTGGAGGAGAAAGTGTCTCCACTGAATAGTTTTCATCTTGTCTAGATGGGTCTGGTGAAAAGAGATAGGGATAAGATTTGTATGATTCAATAGTGAATAATTGTTATCATGATTAATTGCGACTGTCACAATTGTAAAGGTAGAAGTTCTGTAACAAAAACAGGGGAGTGGTTAATCTTACAGTCCAGAAACAGAGGACCCTAGGACCAACAAGGGAGAAGAGCACAAGCAGAATGTGGGACCTTATCCAGAGAAGCAGCGACACCAGAGACAGAGGCAGAGATGGGGACATGGAGAGAGGGAGTGGCTGAGGACTCCAGATTCATGGGAAGAGAAAAACTAAGAGCTGGTGGCCAGGAGGCAGACTTTCAGAATGTGCCCTTTGGAGGTGTAAATTATTATATATGCCTGAGTGGGGTTTTTTTGTTTTGTTTTGAAAAAAAGCTAAAGTGAATACAGAGAGATACTGTTAACTGATGGTACATGGAGGGGATTATAATCATTGTAATGAAACAAGGTGTATGATTTGTTGAATGTAAAACTGATGGTCTGCCCTGTAAACTTCCACTCAATCCACAATGAAAACCTTAAAAAAACAACAACAAAAACTTTATGGGAGCAGAAAGACTCATCTTTCTCCCATGGAGCAGCTGGAAAGATTTGAACTGCTAATCTTGCGGTTAGGAGCCCAGCTCATAATCCACTATGTTAGGTACAAATAAAATAGTGTAATAGACACCACTCCAGTTTTACATGCAACCAATCACCAAGGACTTATCTATTTTCCTTCTTCAATGTCCATTTGTTCTGTTTCTTTACCTCCATCTTCATTGCCTTTGCCTCTCACTTGATTATTTCAATAAGGTAATGTCTCTTTGCTTCTATCTGTTTTAAATTCACCTCTCTTGGGTGAACATCAGGACTAGTTAGAACTGCTTTTACTGTCATTCCTCTAGCATATTCTATACTTTTGTAATGGCAAACCAATGGTAGGTCTCCAGACATATTAATTATTTCAGGTCTCCATGCCTTTGTATGGTATTCTTCCTCTAGAAATTGGATTCATCCCACAACTCATACTCTTTCATGGAAGTCCTGTTCAAGTTATCATCTTCATTAAAGCTTTCTCTGACTGGTCCCTTTAAACTCTTTGTAAGCAAAGAGTCCAACACCTTATCGGTCCTGAATAAATGACTCTTTAAATTAGTCTGAGCAGTGATTTATTTGTTCCCCCTACTTCTGTAACAAGCAGGATGACTATGGCAAAATTCTAAGAACTGCAGGATTGCATGGAGGGGATTGTAACCATGGCAATGAGACGATATATGATAGAATGAATATAAGACTGATGTTCTCCCATGTAAACTATCACATAATTCACAATAAGACATTAAAAAAAAAAAAAAAATCTAAGAACTACGAGGAGACTTCAAAAATTTCATGGAAAAGTAGAATGAAAAGATAATGGAAAATTTCCATACACTTTTTGAAGCTCCCTCTAATAAGGCTATTAATATTGATAATCACAATATATGTATTGAATCATTTAGTCCACAAATTGGTTAATTTCATAGTTTATTATGAAAAGATTTAAGATGTAAGCTACAGTTATGTTATTACTTTCCAAGAAAGATCTTTAGTGTGACTTGTAGATGTCAATTCTGAGATTCTATTAATGACCTTATTTATTGGGGAGGATTTTGAGGGAGGGTGAGCAAACATTAGAAACCAAAACAAATACTCACTTGTTTGTTTATAACCTTTTTATGTTCCAGACACCAAAATAAAAGATGAAATAATACCTCCTATTTGAAGCACCTTAACAATGTACAATATATTTAGAGAAGGGGTACAACTAAACTACAGTCTAAAATTCCCAAACTGTAATGAAAAAAAAATACAAATTTACTATTTATTCAAAGAACTATTATGAGGTTCAAATACCTTAGATTTTAGAAGTTCATTAGTCTTGGTTAATTCAATAAGCTGTTTTTCCAATGAAGCATTATTTGCAGAAAGAGAGGTTTTTTCCCTGACAGCAGCATTCAGCTTTGCTTCCATCTTCTCAAACTCAGCTTCCAGATCCTGGATCCGCTTGTCCTGAATACCACGTTCTTGCACAAGGACACGAATCTGAATGAAATCAAGGTGATAAATGATTCACAGATATAATGCCAATATAAGTAACTAGAGTCTACAGATAATTAAAATGTGAAAGCTTCTAAAAACTTCTGAGTTTTACATTATGCACTTAGTCTAATTTTACTAGCTGTTTGGATAAACATAACTACCTTGGTGATTATGTGCCATGGAGTCAGTTCTGACTCATAGCAACCCTGTATAGGGTTTCCAAGGCTGTAAATCTTTACGGGAGCAGAAAGCCTTCTCTCTCTCCTGGTTGTTTCAAACTGTTGACCTTGAGATTAGCAGCCCCACTTGTAACCACTATGCTACTAGAGCTCCTTATCATTAACTACCTTATGATATAACTTAAAATATAACTTAAAAAAAGTCTGTATTTTAAAACAAAAAGATTTTAATTGCCATAAACTTCCAACTGCACCTAAGGTGTTTATTCACTACTAACAGTAGTTCTAGCTACACAAGTTCTAGTTAACTATAATTCTAATTATATAAATTCAAATTTATATAATTCCCTGCTAATACTAGGGAAAAATAAACAGCTAACTCATCAAAAATTTCTTAAACATATGAACACAAACTGGATCAACTAAAGCTCTGGAGAAAAAGAACACTTCCTAAGAGAGTCAATATCCTCAACTATTTGTTTCCTAGATTTTTCAGAGTGTTAACTCTGCTAACTGAAAGCTTAACGTCCACCCTGAGGAGTATAGGAAGAAAGCCCAGGAGAACTATTTCTGAAAATTCAGCCACTGAAAATTCTGGGGAACACAGTTCTATGCAGACAAACATGGGGTCATGGGCTGCAATCAACTAGATAGCAACAGTATATACTGTTTATAATATATGTACTTTGAACATATAAACTGATAGATTCATAATAAAAGGATCAAAAAAGATTTACCATGCAAATATTAACTAAGACAAAACTGATATGACTAGATTAACATCATACAAAGGAGACTTTAAGATTGATTGTGATAAAGAGGGAATTTTATAAATGAAGAAAAGGAAAACTGAAGATGAAGACATAATCTTAAATTTGCCATGTATCTAGTAACTGACAATTAAAACATGAAAGCTTCTAAAAAATTTTCTGATTTTTCCTTTTTTAAATTTCTTATTTTACACTATGCTCTTAAAATATTCTAATTTTACTAGCTGCATGGGCAAACATAACTACCTTATGATATATCTTAAAATAACAGAAAGATTAGAATTGCCATAAACTTCCAGGTATAACTAAGGTGTTTATTCACTTTATGGTAGTTCTTTATAACTTCAAAGCAATGCAAAGCAAAAATTGACAGAATATGAGAAACTGAATGACTAACCCACAATCAGAGATGGAGAATTAAACACACCTCTCTCAGTAATTAACAGGCAAAAGCACCAATAGAGATAAAAACAATACGAACAAAACTCTTAAATTTATTGATGTATATATTGTTTTCAAGTGCATAGACCATTTATTATAATAGATTATTTATTTGCTGGGCTATAAACCACGTCTCAAGAAAGTATCGCTGTATTAAATCTCATGAAAAAGACTTTTCTACTTTCAATGATTATTACATTCTTACACAAATCTGTTTTTTAAGCCGTTCTTAAGCTTCAACAGTGATTGAACATGCTATTAAAAACCATTAATACAGAAGGCCATAAACTGGATGCTGGAGCAAAAAGAGTTTAAGATTCTTGAACATAAAACCCCCTATTTCTTATGTTATTGCTCTATAACCAATGCTTACAGCACAGTACTGACGAGTATAAAAGGGAACAGCGAGACCATCTATCTACATCACACTTTTCATTTCACAGGTCAAGACTCTTAAGCTCCAAAGAGTTTGTAAGCATAAATATTTACAGGGCCCAGCCGATAATAAGTAGAGTCAGGTGAACACTAGAGAGCAAATGCAGCACAGCCCTAGCATGTGCTACCCTTAAAAGGAGTATGGAACTTAAGTGTTGTCAGATCTGATGTTGCAATCTGCTGTCAAAAATCTGGAGCTCTTTGTGCAAACTTTTATTTTTCAATAGACAACTAATTAAACTAAACAGGCAAGCAAACAAATGCTGTGGAGCTTAATTAAATAAAATAGTGTTCTGTGTTGTGAGAAAGCTCTATTCAAGAAGATTAACAAACTAACTCAAATAATCAGTTCTAATCCTGGCTCTGCCAGTTACTACATGCATAACTGAGACTAAATTATTAAATCTGTAAGTATTCATCTCTACCTCACAGGTATACATAACTAGTAAAATAATATTCTTAAAATAAATACAAATAGGTTTCAAGGTTTGTAAAGCCACATTGACATATTATTGGGCCTAAGGTAACATTTGACTGTAATTATATCAGAAGTTTAATATATTAAAAGAATGTGCTTATCAGCAATGTACACACCAAAAAGACTGCCAGAGAAGCAAATTTGGCAGTGACCAGCTTAGCACTGCTTAGGAAAATGGGCGTTTTAGGTCAGTGTTTGTGACAGTTAATTTTATGTGTCAACTTGGCTTGCTTATAACTCTCACTGGTTTGGCTTGGCCAGATATTGGGCTGTTCTATTCCATAATGTGATGCAATGTAGTACAATATAATGCAAAGCAACACAATATGATGCAATGTAACATACTTACTTACCTTCCATGTGACCTGAATGATCAACCAATCTGTTGACAGGGGAGTTTCCTTGGAGGTGGTCTGCCTCCAGTATATAAATGGATATTGTGGTAGAGCTAGAGTACCTTCTCTCTCTGCCTTGCTTTCTTCTCATCAACTAACATCCAGATTTTGGAATCTGGATGTTCCTGGTTGATCACTTAACTTGAAGAATTACACACACACACACACACACACATATCTACATAGTGAGAGACACACACACACAATATATATATACTTATATGTATGTGTATATATATACTTATATGCATGTGTACTTATATGCATATGTTTGTGTGTTTGTATATATACATATATATATATATATTCTGGTAGCATAGCGGGTATGAATCAGGCTGCTATCCTCAGGGTCAGTAGTTCGAAGCTACCAGCTGTTCCGCAGGAGAAAGATGAGGCTTTCTGCTTCCGTAAAGATTTATAGCCTCGGAAACCCTGTACAGGGTCGCTATGAGTCAGAACCGACTTCATGGCACATAACAACACATATACATGTATTTGTTGATGTTAAGTGCCACAGAGTCTGTTCCAACCCATAGTGACCCTGTATAGGGTTTCCGAGGAGCAGCTGGTGAGGTTGAATTGCTGACATTGCAGTTCAAACCAACTTTGCAGTCCAGTACTTTAACCCACAGCACCACATCAGGACTCCATGTGTGTGTATGTGTGTATATATGTATATATACTTCAAGCTCACCAGTTGCTCCTTGGCAACCCTATAAAGGGTCACTATGGGTCGGAATCAACTCGATGGCATTTAACAATATATATACATAAATATATATACACACACACACATATAAACAATATAAATTGGTTTTGGTTTTTTTTTTCCCTTTAGAGAATCCATCTAAGAGTGCTATCCAACAGAACTTTTTGCCAAGATGGAAATGTGCTATCTTGTTTGGTGGCCACTTGCCATATGTTATTGAGCACTTAAATACGCTGGTTCATTTGAAGAATTCGTTAATTAATTTTCATTAACTTAAATAGCCACATGTGGTTAGTATAATATACTATATTGTATCGTGCAGAATGAAATGACCTACAGCTGTACTATACAATATGGTTAGTATAATAAACCATATTGTATAGTGCAGCTGTACGTCATTTCATTCTTCATGTAGATATACAAATAAGGTGTAGATAAATGCATCAGGTTAGCATAACTTGATAACTATTCAACTAACAAGGTAGAATTTTATGCTCAAAAAGCAATTCTCTAGATCAAGCTTTGGAAGGCTTTGCACTGTTAGTGACTGTAAATGATCTATGTATCTAATTGTAATAAACTGACATACTAATTTTCATTTCTTATGAAACAGATTACTTTAAATCTACCCCCTTTGGTAAGCTAACAAACTTGACTTTGCCAGTTTACCATACGTACAACCAGGCTCTGGAGTGTGGTAACTATGCCAAGGAACTATTACCTAAAGGCACTTATCTAGACTACATATTTGCCTCCCTATAAAACTGCTAAAAATAAAATTGAATCTGTTTAACTTTATGTTCAACTCCTGCCATTACACAGCACATTTATTTTTGCTGAGTTGAAAGTATTTCTTACCTCCTTTTCCAGTATCTTCAGATCTTTATCAGATTTTTGAGAATCTTTCTATTTAAAAATCAAAGAAAAATGATAAATACATTTAAATTAAATGCCACAAATATCAGAGCCAAATTTGATTTTTAGTTAAAACAATTAATAGTACAAATAGTTAATTTTCATTGTGAAAATTTCACTGAGTCTATCAAACATTTTTTAGGTCACTTATTAGTATATGAAAAAAAAGGTTAGTATTTCAAATATTTTAGTTTTTAATTTTTTTGCTCAGATTGTTGTTGTTAGGAATCATAGAGTTGGTACCGACTCAAAGCAACCCTGTGTACAACAGAATGAAACATTATCGGTCTTGGGCCAACCTCACAATTGCTGCCAGCTTAAGCCCACTGATGCTGCCATATTGCCAATCGATCTCACTGGGGGTAGGGGTGGGGGTGGGGGGCTTCCTCTTTTTCTCTGACCCTCCACCTTACCAAACATGATATCTTTCTCCAGCAACTGGTCCGTCCTAACAATATGTCCAAAGTATGAGAGACGAAGTTTGACCACCCTGGCTCCAAGGAGCACTCTGGCTGCATTTCTTCCAACACAGATCTGTTGGTTCTTTTGACAGCCTATGGTACTTTCAATATTCTCCTCCAACACCATAATTCAGAAGCATCAATTCTTCTATGATCTTCCTTATTCATTGTCCAGTTTTCACATGCATATGAGGTTATTGAAAATATCATGGCTTGGGTCAGGCACACTTTAGTTCTCAATCAGACTTGTATGCTCTTCAACACTTCAAAATGGCCTTATGCAGCAGATTTGCCTAATGCAATACATCGTTTGATTTCTTGAGTGCTGCTTCCATGAGTGTTGATAGTTGATCCAAGAAGAATAAAGTCCTTGACAACTTTAATCTTTTCTCCAGTGATAAGAATGTTATTTATTGGTCCAGTGGTGAGAATTTTTGATTTCTTGACATTGAGATGCAATCCATACCGAGGGCTGTGGTCTTTGATCGTCAATAAGTATTTTAAGTCTTCTTCACTTTCAGCAAGCAAGGCTGTATAATCTGCACATCGCAGGTTGTTAATGAGTCTTCCTCCAATCCTAATGCCACGTTTTCTTCATATAAACCAGCTTCTAGGATTATTTGTTCGGCGTACAATAAGTATGGTTGAATAAGTATGGTGAAAGAATACAACCCTGTCACACACCTTTCTTAATTTTAAGCTATTCAGTGTCCCCATGTTCTGGTTGAACAAGTGCCTCTGGGTCCACGTACAGATTCCTCATGAGCACAATGAAGTGTTCTGGAATACTCATACTTAGCATGTTGTCCATAGCTTGTCATGAACCACACAATCGAAAGCCTTTGCATAGTCAATAAAACATATCTTTCTGGTATTCTCTGCTTTCAGCCAAGATCCATCGGACATCAGCAATGATATTCCTCGTTCTACGCCCTCTTTTGAATCCAGCTTGAACCTCTGGAAGTTCTCTATCAATATATGTTTGCAGCCGATTTGTTACTGCCTTTAGTAAAACTTTACTCACATGGGATATCCAAAATATTGTCTAATGATTTCCGCATTCCGTTGGGTCATCTCTCTTTGGATCCAACAATTTCAGTGAAAATGAACAGGTGGCAATTTATCAAAAAGATACAGTCTTTCTCCCTTCTAATGTTACCAGTAATATATTCTGAATATTTAATTTGATATCTCAGAATAATCCTAAAAAGAATAATTAACTTATACTTTGATACTGAAGGAGGAAAATTATAAGTGCAAAGAAATACCAAAATAGTATAAAATCGGATTCAAATTTACTTATTACCTTTGTTCTAAAAGAAAACTATGCAACAGACAAGATCATCAGTTTTAAATTTAACAAATCACTTTGTTTCATTTCAGTGATTGAACCATGTAACAACAGTTATCCTACTTTCCCCGTGTGGTTCTTATTTCTATTCCTTCTTGCTCAACTTTGTCCTTAGTTAAATACTGCCCTGCTGTTCTTGAAAGGTTTACCATTCCATGGTGAGGTTACCTTACTAGTGTTATAGTCCTCCCTATACACCTAATCACTGCTTAGATACAAATTGGGTTACGAGGATGAGTTCTGTTCCAGATCTGAAAGGTGGCTGTTGGCCATGGTCTCAAGCTCCTCCAATCTTTTTCTGACCAGTAAAACCAGTCATTTTTTATAATTCTGAGCTTTGTTCCAAGGTCACATATATATTAAAACATTTCTAGTAGTCATTTCAAAAAACAAAGATTAAATTTTAACAAATATATATTATCTAACTCAAGAGTTGACCGTAATGACACAAATGAAGTAAAGGCCTCGAGACCTTCATTTGCTGATGGGGCACAACTCAAAATGAAGAAAAACAGCTGTAAAAACAGCTAGGAAAATTGGAAATTGTCAAAAATGAAATGGAATGAATAAACATCGATATCCTCAGCATTAGTGAGCTGAAGTGGACTGGTATTGGCCATTTTGAATCTGAAAATCACGTGGTTTACTGAGCTGGGAATCACAGACTGAAGAGAAATGGTGTCACATTCATCATAAAAAATAATATTTCAAGATCAGACAGGCGGTACAATGCTGTGATAGAATAATATCTGCACACCTAAAAGGAAAACCAGTTCATACCACTATTATTCAAATTTATGCACCAACCACTAAAGCCAGTGAGGATGACATTGAAGAATTCTACCAAATTCCTCAGTCTGAAGTTGATCAAACATGCAATAAAGATGTATTGATAATTACTGGCAATTGAAATGCAGACATTGGAAACAAAGAGGAAGAATTAGTAGTTAGTAGACCTTGGCAATAGAAATGATCACATAATAGAATTTTGTATGACCAATAAATTCTACAATGCAAATACCTTTTTTAAACAACATAAAAGACAACCATACACATGGATCTCACCAGATGTAATACACAGAAATTATACTGACTATATCTGTGGAAAGAGACAGTGGAAAAGCACCATATCATCAGCCAAAACAAGGCCAGGGGCAGACTGTGAACAGACCTTCAATTGCTCATATGCAAATTCAGGCTGAAGCTGAAGCAAATGACTACAAGTCCAGGAGAGCCAAAATAGGACCTTGAACACATCCCACCTGAATTTAGAGATCATTCAAATAACAGATTTGATGCATTAGACACTAAAGACCAGAAAAGTTGTGGGAATGTATCAAGAACATCATACAGGAAGAAAACAAAAGGTCAGTAGGAAGACAAGAAAGAAGGAAAAGACCAAAATGGATATCAGAAGAAACTCTGAAACTTGCTCTCCAGCATAAACATACTAAAGCAAATGGAAGAAGTGAGGAGGTACAAGAGCTGAACAGATAATTTCAAAGATCAGCTTGAGAAGACAAAGTAAAATATTATAATGAAATGTGAAAAGATGTGGAGTTAGAAAAACAAAAGGGAAGAACATGCTCAGCATTTCTCAAGCTGAGGGAACTGAAGAAAAAATTCAAGTCTCAATTGCGGTATTGAAGGATTGTTTGGGCAAATTATTGAATGATGCAGAAAGCATAAAAGAAGATGGAAGGAATACATAGAGTCACTGTACCAAAAAGAAACAGTCGATGCTCAACCATTTCAAGAGGTAGCATATGATCAAGAGACAAGGTCCTGAAGACAAAAGTTCAAAGTGCATTGAAGAAGGCATTGGCAAAGAACAAGGGACCAGGAATTGATGAAATACAAATTGAAATCTTTCAACAAAGTGAAGCAGCACTGGAGGCACTCACTCATCTATACCAGGAAATTTGGAAGGAAACTACGAGGCCAACTGATTGGAAGAGATCCATATTTGTACCCATTCCAAAGAGAGGTGACCCAGCGGAATGCGGAAATCATTGGACATTATCATTGATATCCCATTTGAGTAAAGTTTTACTCAAGGTAATACAGAAACGGCTGCAAGCATACATTAACAGAGAAATTCCAGAGGTTCAAGTTGGATTCAGAAGAGGATGTGTAACGAGGAATATCATTGCTGATGTCAGATGGATCTTGGTTGAAAACAGAGAATACCAAAAAGATGTTTATGCTTTATTGACTATGCAAATGCAAGTTATGGACAACATTGCAAAGTTGTTTGAAGAGAAAAAATAATGATTTAAAATTAGGAAAGGTGTCCGACAAGGTTGTATTCTTTCACCATACTTACTCAATTTGTATGCTGAACAAATAAGCTGAGAATCTGGTTTATATGAAGAAAAATGTGGCATTAGGATTGAAGGAAGACTCATTAAAAACCTGTACTATGCAAATGATACAACTTTGCTTGTGAAAGTAAAGAGGACTTTAAATACTTACTGATAAAGAACCAAGACCATTTCCTTCGGTATTCATTTCAATGTCAAGAAAACACAAATCCTCACTACTAGACCAATAAACAACATCCTTATCAATGGAGAAAAGATTGAAGTTGTCAAAGACTTCACTTTTCTTGGATCATCAACACTCATGAAAGCAATAGTCAAGAAATCAAACAGCATATTGCATTAGGCCAATCTGCTGCATAAGACCTTTTTAAGCGTTGAAGAGCAAAGATGTCAGTTTGAGGACTGAGGTGCACCTGACCCAAGCCATGGTATTTTCAATAACCTCATATGTATGTGAAAGTTGGACAGTGAATAAGAAAGACCGTAGAAGAACTGATGCATTTGAGTTATGGTGTTGGAGGAGAATATTGAAAGTACAACAGACTACCAAAGAACAAATCAATCTGTGTTGGAAGAAGTCCAGCCAGAGTGCTCCTTGAAGTAAGGATGGCCAGACTTCGTCTCTCATACTTCAGACATATTATCAGGAGGGACCAGTCACTGGAGAAGGGTATTGTGTTTGGTCAGGTGGAGGGTTGGAGAAAATTTGGAAGACCCCCAGCAGGATGGATCGGCACAGGGATAGCATCAATAGGCTCAAATATATCAATGGTGAGGTTGGCCCAGAACCGGGCAGTGTTTCGTTCTGTTGTTCATGAGGTCATTATTTGTCAGTACTGACTCGATGGTACCTAACAACAACAAGGTTCCAGTTCAAACATGCATAGGTTTACTTCAAACAAAACATGCTTAAACATGTCTGTGTGATTAGTGGACAGTTGCAGTAGATAGTTCTCTCAGTATTACACTTGTCTTAAGTCTTATTAGGAGTCTTCAAAAAAGAGTCCAATTAAAATTGTGGATCTGAAGGGAACTACTGGGTCTATTCAGTTCAAGGCAGAGAGGTCAGGTGACTGTTTTAGGATCCCTAAGGATAATCCTGATAAACTTTCTTGAAGGACACAGCTGGACAGTACAATCATGGGAGGTTGTTATGAAGAAGTTTTAAGAAAACTGAACACTGTTTTGGTAAGAAAAAGGCCAAGAAAATTGTGATCAGGAATTTTTTTCCACTACGACAATGAATTCTTTAAGCGTAACAGCACTGTTCTATGAGAATTTATTGGGAAACCTTTCCCCATATACTATACAGCTCAGATTTTGTCCCTTTAGACTTCTTTATTTTGTTCACAAAACTTAAGAACATAACAAAGAAATACGATTTGAATCTTTCAAGGATGCCCAAACTGCCTTTTAATGTGGTATAAGTTGAAGAATGCAGAATTATCTGGGGAAGGGTGATGGGTGCATTCAGGATCGTATAAACCTAGATGGAGGGCACATCATGAAACAACAGCTTCACATGTTTATATTTTTATTTAATAGAGGTTTTTAAATCATAGCAATGATTTTGTAGCAACACTTTCTGACTTACCCTTGCATTAATGAGAAATTGTCTATTTTTGTACTAAGTATTCAGAGCTGATATATCTTTTATAATCAAAGCATGTTTCAATTCACATGCTAAATTTTCATCAGAAATATTAAGTATTTTTCCGTTGTTGCTGTTGTTAAGTGCTGTTGAGTCAGTTTTGACATACAGTGACCCTGTATAGGGTTTCTGAGAAGGGGCTGGTGAGCTTGAACTGCCACCTTGCGATTCTAACTGACTATGGAGTCCAGCATTATTAACCGGCAGTGCTACACCAGGACTCCACAAAGTATATAAAGCGGGCTTAAAAAGTGGAAATGGAAAATTTGAATAAAAAAAAAGGGATTTTTCCATGAATTTTTTTGAAGTGCTCTTGTTCATGTAACATACAGATGATAAAGTAGATAAACATATTCAAGTTGTTCCATAAATAATCAAATAGTTTATAACAGAATCGAGCATCGATTTTTTAAATTAATTAAAATGAAATAAAATTATATAAAAATTTAGTTCTCCAGTCACACTAGCCCTGTTTTATGCTCAATAGTCACATGCTCAATAGTGGCATCTGTATTATGTAACATAACTGTGTATTACAAAACAAGAGACTTAAGTAATAGATAAATGCATGAACAAGAACGAGTTTAACCAATATCTTTGGTTTCCCATATCTGAATATTTTTCACATTAAAACACCTATTGAGTTTTATAAGTCCCTAAGAAATTACGAGTTGCTTATAAACTAATAGAACACACAGACTCTTACACAGCCTTCAAATACAACCATTACAAATTTAGCCTCCTACCGTTCTTTCACAGAATCTGAGTAGCCAACCTATCCTTTACCACAAATAAATAAAAACCAAAATAAAACCAAATTACACAAATCTGTTAACTAGCAAATCAAAGCATCACACAATTTTAAAAAAGTATAGGATAAAAGATGAAATTCATCTAGATACAGAAACAACTGAGAAGTGAAGGTTATAGATACATAATTCTAAACTATGTTGTTGTTGTTGTTAATTGCTATTGAATCAATTTTCTTGTTAAGAGTCTGTTGAGTTAGTTCCAACTCATAATAATCCTGTTAACAACAGAATTATTATGGTCCAGTACTATCCTAGCAATCATTGCTATATTTGAGTCATTGTTGCAGCCACTATGTTAATCCCTCTTGTTGAGGGTCTTTCTCTTGTTTCTTGACCCTCTGCTTTATCAAGCATGATGTCTTTCTCTGGGGATTGGTCCATCCAGATAACAAGCCCAAAGTTCATGAGACAAATGAAGTCTCACCACCCTTGCTTCAAAGAAGTATTCTGGCTGCACATTTCCCAACATAGAACTGTTCGTCCTTCTGGCAGTCTCTGGTGTAGTCAATATTCTTCTCCAACACCATAATAAAAATTCATCAATTCATCTTTCGTTTTTCTTATTCATACTCTCTACATTCTCATGTCTGTGAGGTGACTAAAAATAGCATGGCTTGAGTAAGGTGCACATCAGTCCTCAATATTATCTATGTATTTTAACACTTTAAAGTAGTCTTTCGCAGCAGATTTGCCAATATAATACATCTTTTGATTTCCTGGCTGCTGTTTCCATGAGTACTGCTAATTGGTCCAGTTGTGATCATTTTTGTTTTACGTTTTATGTTGAGGTGAATTTGTTATGAAAGCTGTCTTTGATCTTTATCACTAAGTATTTCAAGTTCTCTTCATTGTCAACAAGTAAGGCTATGTCATCTACATACTGCAGGTTGTTAATGAGTCGTCCTCCAATCTTGATGTTGTATTCTTAATTATCAAAAAGCTTCTTGGATTATTTGCTTGAATCATTCTGGAACATGTTTAACATACTGTATGTAGTAATGATCTGCAGAGAAATGCTAAATTTGATCCTAATGATAATATGTTTCATTACATTATATATTTACTTAAAAACACTCCATTCTAGTAAAAAAAAAAAAACACACTGTTTAGTAATATGTTCCATGATACAGTTGATAAACCAGCTGGAAAATAAAAACTCACCTTTAATCTGAAAGTCTTTGCTTTTTTTGCTGAAGCAGGTACGGTAGTATCTTTGTCACAATTAAGATTTTGTTGAGCTTCTACAAAAGCAACAGAAAAATGTACAGATCATGGTGGGTGCTTGCATGTTCTTAAGCATAGCCCAAATATCTTATAGTAATTTTTACTTAGTAATAAAGGTGATTCTTTTCTTGATTGTACATGTCCAAATAATTAGTTCACAACATTTTACACATATCTAGCATATTTCTAACTTTCTAATATTCCAAAATAGAAATGTTTCAAAACGTTTCAAAAAGAAACTACATGTCTAAGTAAATGTCTTATAAATTTTGTTTCTTAAATAGCCGTGTAATGATAAAAGTATTATTCTGTACTCAATCCTTTCAAAAATCCATTAAATAAGAAAGTTTACATATAGTTCAAACTTCTCATTTTTAGAAATATTATGATATCTTTACATTTAAATACTGTTAGTCATAATGTGAAAATGTGTGATAGCAGATGGTGGTAGGGGTTATGAGCCCTGGAGTCTTCCGACTCACAGTTACCCCTGAGTAGGGTTTCTGAGGCTATAAATCTTTACAGGAGTAGAAAGCTTCATCATTCTCCCTGGAGCGGCTGGTAGATTCAAACTGCTGACGTGGTAGTTAGCAGGAGAACTTGTAACTCATTATGCTACTGGAGCGCCTTGTGAAAGCAAATAACGATTTTTATTTTGAGATCTATTACCCTTTTGTTTTTTAAATCGGCTTGATTTCTGAAAAGATACAGGTCCTTTCGATGCTTCTGCAGTTTTAACATCATAAGCGCCTGGGGAAGGAGCACAGCCTAGAGGAAACATAAAACATTAATGTCATCTAGTGTTATTTGGAGGCCAGGATGGCCAAACTTCGTCTCTCGTATGTCAGACATATTGTCAGGAGGGACCAATCGCTGGAGAGGGATATCATGTTTGGTAAGGTGGAGGGTCAGAAGAAAAAAGGAAGACCCCCAACGAGATGGACTGGCCAAGTGGCAGCATCGATGGACTCAAGTGTGGCAACAGTAGTGAGGTTGGCCCAGGATCGGGCAGTGTTTCATTCTGCTGTGCATAGGGTCACTATGGGTCGGTACTGACTCAATGGCACCTAACAACAACAGTGTTATTTATAATCTTAACATACAATGAAGTGAATAATATAAGTGTGAAATGCCATTAATAAAGTGAATTGTTTTCGTTTCATGCAAAAATAACATAAAGCATAGAGGCTACTCATATTCTTACCTTTCCAAATACTCAAATGGATCAAAAGAACACAAGTACTGAGTAAAATAGTAAAGTGAGTCTTGGGATGAATGTCACATGCATATAATGACAAGCAACATAGGTTTGTTATCAAGGACTACCTATGAGAAATAATAAAATATTTGGTATTCACTACATTCACAGTCACTGAAGTAATTACCATTCGTTTCTAGAAATGAAACAGTTAAAAATATCTAGTCCTCAGGATTTTGCCTGAAATACAAACTTGTGATATCCCTCTCAGGTAAATATCAGTACTGGATACTCATTGACAACGTGAGTGAAATTTGTATGAAATAATAAAAGCGTCCATGCTTTATAATAGTAGCCACTCAAATTTTGGGGGGCACTTATTAAATGCCAGGCATTATGCTAAGCACTTTATAGATATTATTTAATTTACTCATCACAAAAGCCCTCTAACAAGAAAGCTTATTGTTAAATGTCTTGGAGTTGGTGCTGATTAATAGAGACCTTATATAGAGTAATCTTTGCAGGAGTGGAAAGTCTCATCTTTCTTCCATGGAGCGCTGGTGGTGGCTAGTGAGCTTGAACCTCTAACTTATGGTTCTCAGTCTAGTGCTTATCCTATAGAGCCACTGTGTTCCCAATAAGGAAGCATGGGTCCAAAAAGCTTAGGTCTAGGGAATTTATAATGCCATGTTAGTCAAAGTATTAACTGTACTTTGGAGTTCTGGTGTGGCACTATACAGTAGTCACTGGACTGCTTACCACAGGGTTGTTGGTTCAAACCCACCAGCTGCTCCTTGGAAATCCTATACAGGGTCACTATGAGTCAGAACCAACACAACAGCACTTAACACCAACAACAAACTCTTCTATGTTTGAGAAATTAATAATGTGTAATCTCACTTAGATGGAGTCCCACACTGAAGGCATCTTAGGGTGCTTTTTCTTAGCAGAGTTAAGATCAGGTCCTCAGGATTTAAAAACTTTTTAAATGTCCTTAATATAAAGCTTCAAGGAGACCTGGTGTGGCTCTGTGGGTTAATGTGCTGGACTGCAAAGTCAGTCTGAACCTCAAGGTCGGTGGTTCAAGTTCAACAGTTGCTCCTTGGAAACCCTGCATAGGGTCGCTATGGGTCAGAACCTACTCAATGGCACCTAACAACAACAACAACAACAATAAAGCTTTAAATGAGTAGGAGCCAGTAGATCATGCTATTTTCTGAAAAACTATACTTTATACTTTAATATTTAGTCTCATGCAAATAAACGGAAATAGCAAGGGCCGCTACTATCCTCAACGCAAGTATTGCTAAGTGTTTTTAATGGCAGGCAGGGACTCATTAGTAAATCTGGCTAGCATTAAAACATACACACACTAAAGAAAATATCAGTGTTCTTCATGTGTCAGTGTTAGCAAGGTTAAACATTGTTTTGTAAGACTTTTCTTTCAGTTATGTAGAAATGCAAAAACTATATATTAGTTAAGTGCTGTCAATTTTTATCTCATGGTGACCCCATGTGACAGAGCAGAACTGCTCCACTGTGTTTTCTAGGCTGTAATCTTTATGGGAACAGAGAGCAAAGTCTTTCTCCTGAGGAGCTTTTAGGTAAGTTTGAACTACCAATGTTTCCATTAGTAGCCAAGTGCTTAACTTTTGTGCCACCAAGACTCCTTATATCCTGGGTAAAGTAGTTTAAAAATCACTGTTCTTACCAATTCCAGGTAGACTATAAAAACATCAAGGATAGAATTAAGTTGATATACTTCTATCCAAAGTCATGACCATTTATATGCCCTGACACAAACACTGCAATCCTGTGAGTTCCCAGATCTCAATGTTGTCAATAAAGGATGTGAGTGTGGTGGGTGTGTGCTGGTGAGTGGATTCTGATGCTTAACGACCCTGTATTAGGTCTCTGAGGTTGTAAATCTTTACCAGCATGGAAAGCCTCATCTTTCTTTCATTGAGTGACTGGTTAGTAATCCAGCTTGTAATCACCTATGACATCCGGGCTCCTCCAATGAAGGGTAGAGGTAGTGGATTTCTAATCAGGACGGACAGTCTCAAAAGGAAGTATAGAATTCACTGGGGTAGTTCAGGTACAAGATAGCTTAAGAAAAAGTATTAATCTTGGCTAGCTCAGATTCCCCAAACCTCATAACACCCTAGAGTGAAGACTGGGGTTGGCAAAGTGTTCCCTAAAATAAGGCTAAGCATGACACATCTTCCTAAAGTATTCTTTTTAGTTATTTGGGTTAAGAGTGGGGAAGGCAGTGTTGTTAATTGTTGTGGAGTCAATTCAGACTCATGGCAACCCCACGTGTGCACAGTAGAACTGCTCCATGGGGTTTTCAGGCTAATTTCTTTTGGAAGCAGACTACCAGGCCTGTCTTCCAATGTGCCTCTTGGTAAGTTCAAACTATAAACCTTTCACCTAGCATATGTGATCTTGCCCATTTGTGTTACCGAGGCACTGCTGAATTCAGGCTAGGTATGGCATTCATTTTACTCATTTGATCATGGTGGGCAGGATTTTTTTTTTTTTTTTTTT